CTCTTCTCTTCTCTTCTCTTCTCTTCTCTTCTCTTCTCTTCTCTTCTCTTCTCTTCTCTTCTCTTCTCTTCTCTTCTCTTCTCTTCTCTTCTCTTCTTCGCTATATACCAAACGATCTAAGAGCACAACGTGCTCGATGAACAACGTCGCTAAGTGATTCACGATCAACTTCGTCGATTTTATCGACGCACGGTGATCCATCGGTTTCAAGTTCTTACACCAGGATGATCATCTCGCTTATCCTAAATATATAATAAAAACAAGTATGCATAAAATGTATTTTATCTATCCATCTATGTAAATATAATACATCATGGAAATAACTCTAAATGCGTAAGTGTACGAGTAAACGTACGAGTACTTGGATTTCATTTTTTTTCAAAACCTAATTGAATGATAATATCAAAATGAAATATTTTATATACCAACTTCAAAAGCATTCCACGATATAATATATTTTAAAATCGAGTTTCATACGAACGTAAAAAATCCATCTATATAACCGGACGTATTAGGATGAGAAAAATGATTGGATAAGAGAGTAAAAGCTGGCAGGAAGAGTTTAAAAGGTAGAATTCGAGCTAACCGTCGAAGCTTAATATCAGCGAGCGTATCTAATCGACGTTACACGATATCGAGCTTTATAGCGAGCGTGCAATTCTTGTCGCGTGATCGTGTAATCCCTTGAAAGAGTCTAGTGCCGACATATATCGTACGTGGCATCGGGCTTTAACGCGTTTCAAAACCTTTCCAAACTGCTACCCTCTTCGTTCTTTGTCTCCTTCCATCGTACACATATGTACACGTCTACAACATCGAAAGATTTCCCCATACACTCCTACAACTCCTTCATTAAATCGGTAGATTCGATCGAACTCACTTAACACTCCGGGCACTCTGTAGGTACTCTCTCTTGTACTTCGTGGAAAATGTTAATTCCTTACTTTGGAATAAGGATACGCCAAATTGACTCCAATCTTACCAGTGTGTTCCTTCCTCTTCCATCATTTTCATCGTTCCACCAAAATACATCCTTCCTACAATCTCTTTCGTTCCCATTTTCCCTTCTCCTTTCATAAGATTACTTTACTTTTACGTAATACATTTTGATATAATTTTTTATCAAGTAACGATATATTTTGATAATAATAATTTCTTTGTAGTATGATAATACGGTTAAAAGTGTCCTATCTTTATGATATATAGATATACATATTGAGAAATATTTTTGTATATTATCTGGCAAAAATTCAAATTAATTAAAGTACAAAATTATTCATACCTATCTCATATAAATTACCTTCTTTCTTTTTTCTTAAATAGAAGTCTTATTATTTGCGTAATTTTACGTTTTCTATTTGCCTAATTTTTATTTTTTACATTTTATTTCTAACTGTACACCACGATGATTTTATCAAATTCAATGAAAATTATGGTCAAATCTTATAATAAATATTAAAGTTACGGATTTGAAATACAATAAAAATTATTAAGGACCTGTCATCTACTTAGAAGAACTTCGAGCGGACCACCAACGACGACGGCATTTAATGGTTCTCAAGGGGGGGTGATTTTCCGACAAGGTTTCACAAGTACCTTAATGTGACCACCAAAATTTCGTTTAACCATTATTCTTTCTTTCTCTCTCTCTCTCTCTCGTTCTTTCATTCCATTCATTCTTTCTTTCTTTCTTTCTTTCTTTTTTACTCCCACACTTACCGAAAGTCGGTTTCTCGTAAATAAGAAAGGCAAAACGTCGGCCTGCTTTCTATGAAAGTTGCAGACGGGCGTTGACAGGAAAACTCACTGACTTCTCTAATGTCAACCCTCGGCCATCCTTATTGTTAACCGCTTTAAGGACATTTGTTA